GGGTCGGCTTGGTAGCCGCGGATGAAGCTGTTCCGCAGGTCGTCGTCAATCTCGAAAGTCGAGTAGACCGCGGTACAATGATCCGGACGCCGTGATAGAGCATCCGCAAAACGGTTCGACTTCCCGGGAATGTGATCGGGAAAGAAGTCGAACTGGTCGATGAAAGCCATCCATCGAGCGATGGTGCTGTTGACGGTGTCTTGGGTCTTGTAGAAGACCAACGGATTGTTGTCCGTTACCCATCGAAACTGGCTTCGACCAAGGAGGAAGTGCCGCCAGCGCTTGAGCGCGTGGACGAAGGTGAGGAGTTCCTTCTTGCGTACATCGTCAATGGAATGCACAAGGGGCACTTTCTTGCTGAAGTATTCGACCGGGTGCCAGTCCGCACCATCATGTTGCTCGAGGACTGCACCAATGCCATAGCCTGACGCATCCGTAGTGACGCGTGTAGTTGCGAGCGGGTCGAATATCCGCAAGACCTCCGCAGACAATAGCGCGGCTTTGAGAGCGAAGAATGATCCTTGCGCCTCCTCTCCGAAGTCAAACGGCCGATCCTCGCACTGGAGCTTGTTCAAGTGGGCCGCGATCTTGGAGTAGCCTTTGATGAAGCGCTGATAGTAGCCGATAAGACCGAGGAACGAACGGACATCCATGACGTTCCGAGGCTCCGACCACTCTTGGACGGCCTGAATCTTGTCCGATAGCGGACTGATGCCCCCCGGTGTGACAAAATGGCCCAAGTATTCCAGCTCTTGCCGGACAAATTCGCACTTGTCGCGGTTGGCCTTGTACTTGGCACGGCGGAGCGTCTCCAACACTCGTCGAAGATGTCCAAGATGATCCTCCAATGTCCGGCTGTAGACGAGAATATCGTCTAAGTAGACCAGCACGAACCGGTCCAACATTGCACGGAACTCATTGGTCATTGCCGCCTAGAACATCGCCGGGGCGTTGGTGAGGCCAAAAGGCATGACCACCCACTCAAAATGCCCGTACCGCATCTTGAACGCGGTCTTGTAGCGATCGTTCGGCTGGATCGAGATTTGATGATATCCCGATTTCAAATCCAACTTGGAAAAATACTTCGCGCCGCCCAGCCGCTCGAGAAGATCGTCGATGCGTGGAAGAGGCCCTGCATTCTTGACAGTTTGAGCGTTGAGCTTGCGGTAGTCGATACACAATCGTAGATCCTTGTTCTTCTTCCTGACGAAGAGAACTGGTGCTCCATATGGGGAGCTACTCGGGCGGATCCAGCCCTTGGCCAACAAATCGTCGAGTTGTGCGCGGAGGACCTCAAGCTCCTCCTCGCTCATCCGATAGATGCAACCTTTCRGCGGCACGGCACCGGCCTCAAGAATGATCTCGTGAGAGATCGGCCGACCCGGCACCGCACCGGTAGGTGACTCGAAGATGTCGACGAACTTGTCCAGCAACCGCACCACACGGGGGTCCGAAGACAAGTCCATGGGTGAAGAGTCGGCTACCGCTACGGTTCGTAGGAAACATAGGCCGATCTCCTCGGGCTGCTCGTAAGCGCAAGTCGCCCGGAATGATTTGGCCGTCACCACTTGGCACCGGATCGAAGAGTGCGGTAGAGGAATAGTACACGCCACTTCCGCGCCGAAGGCGTCGCGAACGCTAAGAGTCCGCCGATGGAAGTTGACCGTGTGATCCGCACTTGCAAGCCAAGGCATTCCCAAAATGATGTCGAAGTCTGTGTCGAGAATATCGGATGTCACCGGTTCGCATGCATGAGGTGCGAAGTAGACCGGTACGGCCTCGATGTAACGGTCGAGAAGTTGTTGCGTCTTACCATCCGCCAACTTGATCGCCGTCGGGTTTGCCTTTCTCATAACTTGTGCGCCAAGGCCAGCTCTTTGCATAAAAGACTGGCTCATGAAGTTGCGAGACGCGCCGCTATCCAGCAAAGCGCTGCAGGACGCTTGCCCAACCTGAATGCGGACATACATGAGCGGTGCGTTGTTGTCATCGTACCGCTGCGTGCGAAACTCGCGGGCCACCTTGGTAGTATACGTCAGGATGTCCCCCATCGCGACTTCGTCATCCGTCGGCGAAGTTGGTGGTGCATAGAAGAATAGGTAAGTGTGAAGATTAGCGCTAAGTGCTGCGCATTGCGGTCCCGGCAAACAGCCTGTGGTCGGGAGAGGAAGCCATGCAAAGTCCTCAGACGTGAGCGGGTCCAATGCCTCTATATTGAACTCGCGCGCCGAATCCCGTGAAGAACCACTTGAAGACGAACTGTCGTTGTTGCCGGACGGAGAAGAAACCACACACACTCCTTGTCCTTGAGCTTGAGTACCCAGCGTAGGAACGAATCGGGCAGCATAGTCCTCGAAAGAAAGTAGAAGCGGAGGACTGTCGACTTCCGCGTGCGCCTCGGAATGAAGGCTGGTTACTCGCGAAGAAACCAGTTCCGAAGGCGTCGAGAGTGCTATCGAATCACTCTCGCGGTGCTCAGTTTCCCTGTCTGCCCTTGCCTTCCAATGAGCAAACCTGCGTCAGATGGGCAATAGTGGAATCTCTTGCGCGCCTTGAAGGCGGATTCGGAGATGCCATACGGGGTCCATGGGCCTGTCTGAGCTGCTGCACCGGGCCCGGGGCTAGAAACAGTGTGTGTCTTCGTCTTGCCGCGTCCTCTGCCTCTGCCGGAGCGGCCACCTTCCCGGGCGGCTGCGAATCTGTCTCCTTCACTGGCAGACACAACCTCGCTGGTTTGGTCTAACGGCACGGCCGCTGCGACCACGGCCACTCTTGGCCGATGCTGGTCCCTGCTCGGGCCTGACGCAGATGAATGGAGGTTCTTGGCCTCCTTGTTGGTGATGATGATCTGCGCAGCCTTGTCGAACAATTCCGTCCTCGTCGTCAAGGTGTCCTCGACATGCGTCAGGGCATTGCTCAATGCCGGACATGACCTTGAGATGAAGTAATGGCGGATGGCCTTGAAGCCCATCTGGATGTCTGGGACTGACGTCAAGCGTTGGTACTCGGCGATCCAGTCCGTACTCGGTAGCGTGCCTTGCTCGAAGATCATGAGCTTATCCATAGCCTTGATCTTTGGCGGCTCCACCTGGAACTGCTTGTGCCACGCCGCCTTCAGATCATCCCAATTGATCATGGTGTGCAAGTCCGCTGCTACCACTCCGTACTTGGACAAGAGGTTGTCCAACCAAGCCTGGCACGCGCCCCCTGAGCGAGAGTACAAGTAGGCGTGATGCTTGTGTTCCTTGACGTTGGACAGCTGCAGCGTGAGCTCGAACTTGCGGAACCATGGAATCGGATCTGTCTTCGTTGAGTCGCAGAAGATCTCCTGCCCGTCAAACTTTGGAGTTGACTCGCGCGGCTCCGTACTCGAGGTGGTGGCGGTGGTACAGACTCGCTGCTGCAACTGTTGCGTCGCGGTGAGCTGTAACTGTGTGCCATCCTGGAGTGAGCCGACGTGCATCTCCAATGCATTGAGGCGGTCGGCAGTATTGGAAGAGCCTGCGTCGGCGACGGCGACTGGTCGCTGCTCCAACCGCTGAAGGTGGTTTTGCATGCGAGCTAGCGAGGTGTCGAGGCCAAGGATCTCCGCCTGCTGTGTAATGCAGGTGGCCAGGAGATCCGTGAGATGCGAGAGGAGGAGCGCTATCTTGTTTGCGCTGTCCTCCAACTGGTTGTTCTCGGCCTCGGTCCGCCATGTCCCTGCCATGGTAAGTAATGCCCGCTCTCCGGTGAATGTCTTCTCACAACACTGTACTCTTTCTTCATCTGCAGCCTTTGCTGCTGCCTCATCATGCTGGCGCTGTTGTTCAAGTGCCAGCAGACGTGCCTGTTCGGCATCTTCTGCCTTCTTCTTCGCTGCTGCGGCGGCGTCATCTGCCCATTTCTTAGTCTCGGTACTCCACGCCAGCATGCGGGCCTGATAGGCCTCATCCGCTTCACCGGGCCTCTGGTCCATGACTGCTGTTTGAGATCTCAACAGCATACACCGGCCGGGGCCTGTTTCCTCTGCTGCTGACGTGGCACTGTTGGCGTGTCCTGCTGACGTGGCCTGCTGACGTACTGATGTAGTCTGCTGACGTGGCCTGCTGACGTGGCCTGCTGACGTGGTCTGCTGACGTGGCCTGCTGACGTGGCAACTCACCACTGCCGCCGCAGGGGATACCCGGATACAAACAGAAACGGAAAGGCGAGAGATGGCAACAACATAGGTGGGGAGGGGTGGGTGGGATAATCGCCCATCACACACTTAGATAAGGAGCCACTAATCAAACAGAAAAGTCTGAACTTTACAAAAAAAAATTCGAGAAAAATAAAAATCCCGATTTTTGCAAGTTCGGTAGGTCCCTCAACCTCCTTGAAGTACGAAATGATCACTGGAAGCGAAAAAAATTTCGACTTTAGACTGCAAATGATTTATCAAACTGAATGACAGAATCCGATAACTGCGAAAAAAAAATCCAAACAGAAATGACACGTATTCGGATTTATCCCGATTCACAGTTTGAAAAATAATAACGCAGGAGGTATTTCCCGTACTGTTTTTCAGAAAACGAATTTCAGAAAAGACAATCTTCCTAATTTCTAAGCATCAGGAGGGATTTCCCGTACCGTTTTCAAAAAAACGAATTTCAGAAAAGACAATATTCCGAATTTCTAAGTATCGGCAAATGTAACAGGAAATCGAAACTTTCGAAAAAAAAATATTCCGGATTTTCAACAGCGAAATTTCTAATTTTCAGAAGAAAAACGAAAATGAGAATTTCAGATGTTGCGATATTGCGATTTTCCACTACAGAACAGCGAGAAAATAGAATCCGAGAAAAGAAAAAAATTTCGATTTTCGGTAGTAAGGTCAAGATCGTGATTTTGGGGTCTAACTAGTTTGTCCTAATCAATCGAAAAAGACTAACTAGTTTTTAAGTCCCCGCACACGTGTCAGATCAGGTTTGTCCTGATTCACGTGCAAAGCTCAGATACCAACTGTTACATGCACAAATATGCCATGTATGTAATAACCGAGGAWCTGCAATGTGATGAAAAGGACTGAAATGGACAATGTAGTGCGAGTAGAATCTCGACAGACAATGTGCATTCTCATACATACAAAAGGTGCTGAATAGCGCAGGGAAGACTTAGATACAATGACTGACCTGACAAGGACTGACCTCATACACGTAGTTCAGAGTAACGAAGCAGAATGCTAGAGTACTACTAACTAGCCCAATCAATGTTGAACTTAGACTAAACATGCATGGTATCCATCACCAAGTGTGAGGGAGCCTGGTGCTGTACACAGGAAGAAAGCGCCAGGTCAAGACATACACAGACGAAGAGACAAGGATCAGACGAAAGGAGGGGAGGGAAGATGGGAATGTCGTTAACACCAAGTCTTTATCACCAATCCCAGATAACCCCTCGTTCCCATGTCTGATGTCCCGAATGTCGAGTCTGGGTCCAATGTCACCAAGCTCGGTATCTCTTCTCTCGTAGTCTGCATATGCAGTGAAGTCAGAAGTTGAGAGGGGWAGAAGGAGGTGGTGGACTGAGAAGAGGAAGAAGAAGAACTCTCTCTCTCTCACTGTTACGAACCAGATACTAACCTGTGAAYGTGGCGCTGTGCTGCAGGTACCTCGAAGACGAAGCTGGAGCAACGGCGCTGCAGGTAAGTGTCTCTGGCCTCCGCCCAAGCTCTCTCTCTCTCTCTCTAGTACTACCTAGCTATGGMGCCCAGCGCTGGAGACTACAGCTACCYACTGCGCCCAGCGCTGAAGACTACTAGCTWACGCTACAACTACTACCAAGCAGCGCTCCCTCCAGAGTGCTGCTCCCGAATCCTGAAGACTACAACTGCCGACTGCCTACCTCGGAAGTGCCTGGGAAGTCCTATGTACTACCTCGGCCTGCCTCCTGACTGCTGGAGGCGAGTCAGGCCGAGGAGGCAGCTCTTGCCAATGCCGAAATGTGCCAGGGGCTGGCGTGCAGCAGCCTGCTTGAGGCTGGC